ATAAATAACAAAAATAGGAAATAATAATAGGAAATAAAAATTAAAAATAGGAAAAATAGGATTTGGTTTTTTGTGTGTTTAGTATAAATGTGGATAAATAGATATTAGTTGGAAGAACTAAAATTTCTAATTACTTTTGTTTATCACTCTTTCTCTTAGCAAAACCAAATAGGAAGCTGACATTCCTGTACTTGGCCAATGATGTCATACAGAACAGCAAAAGGAAAGGACCAGAATTTACAAAAGACTTTGCTCCAGTAATAGTGGAGGCTTTTAAGCATGTTTCAAGGTACAGTAAACTGTTATGTACAGTGTCCTTCATCATACTGTATTTGAGGGGGTTTTAGAGAAGTACTTGGTTAATTTTTTGTGACCTAGCTAGTCCTGGTGTGCTATTTCTTTTTATCTTGGATAGTGTTAATGCTGTTGGATGAAGTTACATAGTAAATTCATCTGCATTCAGTCCCTCTTGCCTTAGAAAGCTGATAGCTGTGCCTTAAATTGAGACCTGCTTTCAGTCTGTTTATATACTACAAGTTTGATATGTTTATTACTAGTATTGCATGATTTGTTTTTTCCCAGCAGCCATTCATCTTGTTGCATGAGGATGCTAGAGTCTTGATACGGACTTATTTTCACACGGTACACAGCTGTTGAAGCAACACAAACCTGTCTGCAGCATTTGTATAATAGGGTTACAGGCCTACAGCTATATGGATTGAGCAAGCAAACAGGAAAAGGGAATTAGACATTGGGTTTTTTTAATGTGCTTGCTAAGACATCTTGAACTGATCTTTGCTTTCTTTTCTTTAAAATGTGATTTTTGTTATCTTATGAGATTATTTGACTTCTGATACCTTGATAATGTATACCTAGGTCCTTCTGTGAAAGATAATCATACAGCAGTGCTGTAGTTTTGCCTAGTGTTGACTTTTGGTTTTTTTTCTTGTAACAGTGAGTCTGATGAGAGTTGTAAGAAACACCTGGGCCGTGTGCTCTCTATCTGGGAAGAAAGGTCTGTTTATGAAAATGATGTATTAGAACAACTTAGGCAAGCTTTGTGTAAGTATTTTCTGCGTGTATGAAGGTTCAGTGTCTTGTTTGAAATATTATTTCTCTGACTCCTCTGTTTGTTTTCATTTAGATGGAGACAGAAAGGTGAGGAAACGCACATATGAACAGATAAAAGTTGATGAAAATAACTGTTCACCTCGAAGTTCTCCCACTGACCCTCCACAGGTAAAAGCATATTTATAAAATTTTGTATTTGCATATGGTTTGTTACAGAATTTTTCAGTTACTCTTGGTTTTGAATGATCTTTTTTCTTTTTAATGAGGTACTGTTTCTGAGCAAGGGTGACTACACCTGAAACTTTTCTTCACAGTACTTTAGGTTACAAGTGGAGCTAGGAAGTTGAGCATGCTATAACTTTAGTGAGTTTGATGCTAAACGAGAATGTATGAATTACATATCTAGTCTTGTCCACATCAGGATTTCAGCATTAGTTTCTACAATGTTTTAGGTTCTCATTTGGTTTCCAGGGTGGTAACCAGTAACACACGTATTAGAATAAGATTATCAGTTTATTAGTATTTCTCAATGTTGCTATCATGATGGTTGGGAGAAGTTCTTGTCTACCTTGCATTGTTATGACTTTTATAATTCTTGTGGGTTTTTTGTTATGGTACTGCCCCATCTCAAAAGGTTTTTTTTTGTTATGGCAAGGAATTACTGTCCTCAAATAATCACGATTTAGTATGTTTCTCTGTAACAGACTTCTGGGCTTCTATGAACATCAGCCCTACTTCCAAAAGAAGTGCACTGATCTAGTCTGATGCGATAGTGAAGCAAAACTACAAGAAAAAATAATTTCTAAAATGTATAGTAAAATGAAAGGTACTGTAAAATAATCACTACTGTCAAAAATAAAAGATGTATAAGTAGTCCTATAGCAAGAGTTTAAATGAAAAAAACCTGTTTTAAGAAGGTGACCTTTAAAACTAGGAATACTGCAATGTTGTTCTGAGAATTAATGGCTTTGTTTTGTTTTCAGTCTGAGAGGGGACAGAATGTTGCTATAATGCTGATATCACAAATGCTTTGAAAATTAACATCAAATTGACTCCATAAGCTTATTGTGAAATACTGTTTTGTATTAGGATCTGTTTATTTAAACTAGTTCTCAATCTTGCATGCTTTTTTCAGACCACAGATCTCATTAGAGCATTACAAGAACTAGAAAATGCTGCCTCTGGGGATGCAGCAGTTCATCAGAGAATAGCTTCTTTGCCTATAGAGGTCCAGGATGTGTCCCTGTTAGACAGAATAACAGGTGAGGGTTGGGGATCCAGGAACTGGAATGCTGTTCTGAGAACTTAACAGTATATAACGAAATCATGCTTTACTTGTTCTTCTCTGCTTGCTTTTTAGATAAGGAATCTGGAGAGCAACTGTCCAAAATGGTAGATGATGCATGTATGTTGCTGGCGGATTACAATGGCAGGTTGGCAGCTGAAATAGATGATAGAAAACAGCTAACTCGAATGTTGTCAGACTTTCTCCGATGTCAAAAAGAATTCCTTGCAGAGAAAGAACATAAGCTGGAAGTGCGTAATGTTTTGTTTTAGTCCATTCTTCACTAAAGCTTGTTCTTGCAAATGTTTTTAGTTTGACTAAACAAATTTTCTCTCCAAAGGTAAATATTAATCAACATTGTTAGGTCTTTGCTTCCAGCACACTTTTAACAAGATTTTTTTGGTTCTAGTGTTTTAAATCTATTAAACCAGCTCAACATTAGGTAACGTTACAACCATAATCATTTCAGTGTTTGTCTTTCTATCTTTTAGCCTATTCAGTCTTCACTATATGTACAGACTTAGTTTCAATAGTGCAGGTAAAGTCTTATTGTGAATGGTACGAACTTAATTCTTCATAGAGTAAATTTTTTCATGTTCTTTTCGTTGTTGTAAGTCTTAGTTATGTACTACATTGTTTAATAGTATCCTTTTGGTGAATAGAATGGTAGTTGTAGGTTTGTGAAGGCACTTAAAGGATAAGAATTTAATTACTGGTTTCAGCACAACTTTTTAATCTGACTCAAGCATCCATTAAACCCAGTAAAATGTAGTTTTAGGTTCTACAGCCTGTAACACAGCTGGTTAGCAGCATTTGTAGTGCTAGCGCTATTAGAACAGGACAAATTTTTAATACAAGAAGGATGCAGAGTGAACAGCTCATTGTGAGCAAATGACCCCCTAAGTTATTCTGTTCTTCACTATTGCCAGTCATCTGTTTTCCTTTCCTACCAGATAATGCCATCGATCTTCTTGTTGAACATCCCACGTATCTTAAATAGGTCCCTAATTTCATGTCCATTGCTTCCCAAATCTCTTATCTCCGCTTCGAGACACAGGTTCCAGTGCTAACTTGGGTACTACAGTGATAGAACTGAAGCTACATCCTTTTTGTAAGGGGAGATAGCTGAACGGTTGCGGTGCCCTGTAACTGCAGCACAGGCATGTAGTCCTTACATGGTGCACAAAGTAATTGCTCTTCAGGTTTCATATCCTACCGGCCTGTTAAGAACACTTTCTTCACTCTGTGTTTCTTTACCCTTTTATAACTTCATAACATCATGAGTTCAGATTTTGTGGTGTCTTTGTGCAGGAAAATGCTGTTCACAATGTATCCGAAGTGATCATTCAGATCAATTGTGTCATTCCTAGACTGCTCATTTCCTGACTTCCTTTGCTCTGTGCCTCACAGAAGAGCAATTGATGAAGGTTCTTCTTGTCAACTTCACTGTGTTTATCCTGTGGGAAGAATACCACCCGACTTTATGTAAGATAGATGCTGTGCACAGTAATGCTGGTTGCAGTAGCAACTGATCCAGGTGCACAATGGAACCTAGAAGATTAAAAACCAGGAAGCTGTAAGCTCTTAATTGCTTATCCTGCCTTCCCTCTCTCTGTGTGAGGTGTTTGAAAGACAAGTTCCCACAGTACCAGTGTAGGTCTGATTGTCTTGAAACACTCACTTCTTTTTGTAGATCGTTACCAGCAATTAGACCCTGTTCATGTATAGTAGACCACTGAGACAGTGAATTGCTCAAAAGGCAGTGACTTAGTACTTCAGACAGATTTATACTCCTGTAAAAACAGAAGACCTCAATCAGAAGTTACAAATGGAGTGCAGCTGTGAACAGATTCCACTCTTGTTTGTTGAAAACAACCAACACAAACCAGTTTAATTTCCCAAAATTACTAGATCAAAGAGTTCAGAGCTGTAAGAGAAAGCAATTGCTTATTCCCAGGCTGTCATGGTCCTTAAAACTGGGTTCCTCGGCTAAATTATTTAAACTGTTAAAGAATCTCGTTCCACTACAGCACACTTCCATTTTCAGACTTGTTTCAGAGGTCTTTCTTCAGAAAGCAGCAGCCAGTTCTTCAGTATGTGTATCAGTCTTTTAAACAGATGAAGTCCTAGGATGTTAAGGTATACTGTGAGGATGTTTTTAGGCTGATGAGTGTGGCATAAATGCAGGTTACTAATAAAGAACTGTTAGCCAGATGGTGTCAGCCCAAGGTACTAATAAAGAGCTATGAGCCAAGAAACTGTAAACAACAAGAACCTTTAAATCAAGCTTCTAAATTTGTGTTAAGATGAATGAAGTGGCTTTATGCTCACTACCAGTAGTGCCTTTTGGTTTGGGAAGTGCAGGCTGATAAACATTATGAAGTTTTGAAATGTAAGATCAGGATGTCTTCATGATACTGTCTGTAGAGCCAGCCGACTTAGCTTCCCTGTTTTGGCAGGTATTATTATTCCTTTTACTTTTAAGAAATAGCTATCTTTTGATGTAAATATCAAATACCTGTAGCCAGATGTATTTGTTTTCTGAAGCAAGGACTCTGGTTTTACAGTCTCGGGAAATACCATACATCAGATTGAGCATTGCTTCTTGGCTCCTCATTTGAAATAGCACTGGGAAAGGGCCTGTCACCTAATTCTTTGAGAATGTATTTCCTGAACTGTCTGTCCCTAGGTTTTGCTGTTTAAGTTTAATTTCTGGTGAAATTAATTTGTTCTAGACAAGCTTGTTTCCTTTGTTAGACTTCTGGCTATTGACCTTTTTTTTTTTTTTTGAGTATAACATAGTCTTTGGGTTGTAACATACCAAGTCTTCATTTCTTTCTGAATTAGTATCACTCATATATGAGTTTATTGCTGAGATCCTACCTTATTGCTGTGTCAACACCCAGGTATTGCAAGAAACAAGTGGTTGTATTCTTAGTGGAATCTAGAAATGTTACCTGCTGTTGACCTGGTTTAACAGTGTTAGAATTTGAATTTCCAGCAAATTCTTACTAACTTTAAACTTTAGGTGGGAGCTTTAGACCTAAATTTGCAGATGTTTTATCTTCTGAAGAAAATTTACAGGTAAGTAACTTTGAATAACCAATCTTTCCATGAGTACTTTTTTAAAAATAAGAGTTTCTCTAATAATTGTTTCAAAACAGAAGTGCATGATTCCCATCAAAATCAAGGTAATGTATGCATTAAATCTTGACAGGAAATTTTGACAACAGATAAATAATACGAGCTATCATGTCTGCATCAAAAGCTAACTGTACTGCTTAGTAGGTGACTTTCATAAGTCTGCTCTGGGTAAGTAGTGTCATCTTTAACTCTTAAGTTGTTTTCTTTAACATCTGTCTAGCTTCTGTTGCAGGTGGTGGACATGGACCTATCTTCTAATGATGTCACCATCCATTAGTACACACATCCTGCTAAAAATAAATTTAAGAATCAAAATCTTGTATTGTCTGTTGTTTTTGAAAACTGAAGAGGAGGAATTCTGTAACTACTCATACCAAACCTCTGCTATTTTCATCTGTGTTCTCACAAATGTTACTGAGTTTATGCCTGAGATGGATAAGTATTTATCCAGTGTCATTCCTTTTTTCTTGAAGATTAAAACTTTCACATGGTTGTTCCTAGTACTCACAAGTCCTTTCAGCTAAATAGTTCAAAATTCCAAATGCAGAAGTTCGGGTGTCACTTGCATTGAAGCTGCCATTACCAAAAGGAAAACAAGACTTTTTCAGATTTTCACTTTTTAACTTACACTCTAGTTCTTGGGTTTACATGAACATCAGAAATGAGAAGTGATAGATGTAGAACTTGTCCTTCACAAGCACAATAAAGAACTTTCACTTTTAATGTACATCTATCTTACCTACATAAAATGTAACAGAGATGTGTTTTATAATAGCTCTTATGCCCCTTTAGGGCCCTCCCCCAAATTTAGGATTGTCCTAAGGAGCATTTTCCCTTCACTTCTGTAAGCTTTAAAGGGGTATAAATATTTAAGGTTCAGTGTACTGTAGTTGTATATGGGAACTTGTATAGGATTTATAGGTAGATGTGATTCTATCTCTTAGAGAAAATGGAACTTTTTTTCTCAGAACCTTGAGGACTAATATAATTTCCTGTTTTCTACTGCTTTGGCTGACTCTTCCCTCTCTGCTTTTTCATTGTGTCCCCCTTTGACCTCCCTGCCCGTGCCCTAGTTTTTGAACAGAAATACTGGTTGGTCTGTTGATCTCACTGATGGCTGATAAAAAGAGCTTTTTATGTTATGCAGGAACAGAATTAGGTATACATAAATTAATATCCACGAGAGCTCATCTCCTTGTTATAGAGACTGTCCTGTAGACATTCTAGAATTAACATGGCCTGAAAAATACAGGGATGACGTGAACAAGAGAAGTACTTGATTTACTGGTTTGGTTTTTTTTCATATTGCTTTGCTTTTGCCTTTTCCACAATCTCCTTGATTAAAGAGTAAATAGACTCTTACTACATTTCAAATAAAGCCTTTGATAGTTCAAAATCTTACATGACTTATTAACAAATGTGGGCAGGGGATCATATGACTTTTTTTCTAGAAAAAAACAAGACAGCCTCCTCTCACCTTCATTTTGATGTTACAGGAAAACATGACATCACTATACTTAGCGTATACTGGATGACCCAGTTTCTTAGTGTTTCTATCAACTTGCCACTTTAAATTGGGGAACATTCTTGTCACTAAATCCAAATTTTTATGAAGGAAATGCTACTCTGGGAGGCCTGCTGTGTTTTAGCAGCTTGCATTTAATTGAGACACTTTTATTGACGATGTTGCCATCTTGCATTCTTTATTTTCTACAGCTGTATAAACAATGTTCATAACCTTACACTCACACATCTGGTTATAATTGTTTGTGGTTTCTTAGCATGTTGAGAGCATATTCTATGTTCAAGGCACTTTTATTTCATGAGAGAATATTATATATTCAAGGCACTTTTATTTAATGACTGAGCTTTATAGCTCAATATAGTTCTTCTTCCTAAAGGGTTTAATTTTGTCATGGAATTTTATGGGTAAACGGCAAGTAGTTAGTCATCCTAGTCTGCAGCTCTGGAGTCAAAGGCTTTTTTTTTTTTTTCTGTTAATAGTTTCAAATGCAGACAAAAATAAAAAGCAGAGAATTTAGGGATGGCAGTGATATAACAGGCCTCTTGTGTCTAGGTTTTGTTTCTCAGTGCACGACTGGATTAA